CTACTCTACTTTATTCCGACCAGTCCTGCCAGGTTGTCAGACACCGGTGATTACAGGTGCAACGCATATGCCTGTGCAGTCGCATGCCCTCCGGTAGTCGTGAATACACCGCGCCGACTCGTGGTGTTACCCAGACATCGAGATATAAAGTTGTACATAAATACGCGTCTGCTACATGCCGGAGCTCAACCGCACGATAACTACGAGATGGATGCGGACGTCGGTTTGGGGAAAATTCTGTTTGGGAATGACGCATACGTGTATTGTGAGCAGCAGCGAATCCCAGGCGTGAATTACGAGGGAATGCCCATATTTACTGTTCACATGATGGGCAAGACAAAAGTGCCTGTAGCTCACCAAGTGATTAGAAATGCTAGTACTAGCAATCCGTCTATGGCAGTGTACAAGATTCCTCGAGCAGAACATGACAAGCTTTATGGTGTGTTTGAGATCGAATGTCGCGTTTTGTATGACTCGTCTTTGTTTGGCGACGAGGATCTGCGGGAGCCGAAAACAATCGACCCGATTTACGAACGACGGGAATTCTTCTTCGAGGAGCGCGTCCGACCAGTGATCTATAATGCGGAATTACTCTCTTCCAGTTCGATCTTGCAAATGAAATTACAGTACATCCCGATTGATCCGAAGTCTGCACGGGCCTACCGAAGCTCACAGATAACCGATGTGTTGCCAGAAGCACCCATTCGTATTTCATCTATGGCCTCCCTCGGTTCACCGCGAGGCTGGTTGGTTGTCAAAATGTACTACTTACAATCAGGAACTGTCAGACACGATAGCTGCGACGATACACAGCTAGTGAATTTTCCCTTGTCAGGACTGCCAGCTAGGATGAGGAAGAAAGTGCAAGTGGGCTACATCCATCAGCTCCCGTTTGTCAATGCTTCGTTCACTTGTGTCATTCGCCAAGAGCACATAGCTCTAGCTCTTATCGCATACCATATCTACAGTAACGAGACAGCTAAGGAGACTGTCGAGTTGGGACTAAGTCAGGCGTTGGGTCGAATGATACAAGCATGGCATACGAGTCAGAGTGATGAGGTGCACTCATCCTTGTCCCTTCCGGATAACTCGAATGCGACGTATCGTGTGCTAAAGCTGAACATGGGATGGAACGGTGTTGTGAATATTGGCTCTGAGCTGCGAATGTTAGGTTACCTGGGAGCGAAGGGGGATCGTCAAGTCAAATGCTGGTATCGAGTCCGTCTGGATGAACCGGAACGAGATTTGGATGAGACATTTCGTGTCGTGAAAGCACCGGCTGAGCACTCATTCTATCTTGTGAAAGACAAGGCCTCCTACTGGGACTCCGGGATCTATAGGTGCAACACTGGGCCCAGTTTGTCAACTGTGGGATTCCTGTCCAGACACCTTGAGGTACTCCCAGATTCTTCGATTCTCCGCTTGTTTTTAACCCATCACTCTCTCACTGAGGATGCGAAATGGAGGGGTAACTACAGTAGATGTGGTTCGGATGGCACCCCGCTACTAGATAGCCTTTCGTACGTCGTAATTAATTGTTTATACATGGATTCCCCTGGTTCCCAAGGTACGCACACCCGCAGTCTGCGCATCACTCCTGTGGATAGTGCACCTGACGGGGACTGGTTGAAATTTGGAGAAATCACAGTCATGAGCAAAGATGGATATATCTTGTTTCCGCATCGGTTCCAGGCTCCGGATGTGGATGTATTTGTAGGTTCACTCCTGCTAACTTGTCAGCTGAATTATACCATCCCCATCCCAGAAACATGCAGGAATTTGGAAAACCCAACGAGGATAAGCATCATAGCAACAAGGCTAATGCGTATTAAGGGCTTCGCCTACCCAGACATTTTCCCAAGATACAGTGTAGCAAATAATCCTACGGTGGAGAGACTACTTAGATCGCTAGTGCAGAGAACGGAAAC